CCGGCCGCCGTGGGGCTGCCCTGTCCCTTTGGGGAGCTTTGCCGCAGCGCCGTGCGGGTCTCCTGTGAGCCTTGCCCCATTCGCATTGGGCCCCTCCGAAAACAAAGGGGTTCCCTAAGTACGATCCATTTCCGAGGCCTCCAGCTGGCCGGCCGCACTGCGGGGATGTGGGGCAGGGAGCACCGCCGGAAGGGGCTCTTGCTGTCCGGTCTTATCTGGCTTGCCAATGCACTTAGACGTTCACTAGGAATATTCCAGGACAGTCAGATCTCATCCGGCCAGTCAGATCTCATCTCATCAGTTACACTCAGAAATCCACCAGATCAAGGTGGTTCTCCTCCCCGCCACTCATTGACTTCATTGGGGTCTCCTGCCAAAAGCCATGCTGTCTAGTGATCCGACCAGAGCCGGAAGCCCAGGGGGCCTGCTGCTCTCTGTGCCTCTGTTTCCCTCTTTTTCAGATTTGGAGGCGGGGGGGCATAACTGCTTGTGAGAACAAATGTCTAGAAGGTGCGAAGTATTTCAAACTGGCTGTCCCTGAATTCAGACTGGCTCAGACTTCACATACCTTCTCCCCTGCCTAAATGTGCCTCCTTGAAAATGAAGTGATGTTTAAAAAGGAAAAGGTCTCAATCAGTGTTCGCTCTAATTTTGTTTCCTTGTGTACAGAATAAATTTTGTTACATGCACCAAGACCTGTAGGGATGTGCACCACCAGTAGACACCCATTCTGTGGGCGCTCTGCTAATCGGGTGGGTGCCACCTGAAACTCTCCTGGGCAGCCGCCCAAGCGCTCAGCGTACAGGGCACACCAGTCTCAATGTAGGACGGGACTCTGAGCCTGGCCATGATACATTGTGTATGCAAACTGATGTAGGCACCAGCGTTCCATGTGACGTACAGCATGCTGCTGTCTTTTTTATATATATTTAATAAAAACCGGTGTCTTTTTCCTACGGTGGCTGCACTGTGGTTTTTTCAGTGAGCTACTGTCAGGGGAGTTGGAGGTGAGGGGGGAGGGAGAGACCAGGCTGTGTGGTCCTTGCGTGCCAATGCGGTGGACAAGCATGCAATACAGAGCACTGCCTAACCCAGGGGCAAGTGCCTACTGCATGGGGGGGATGTCACCCTGGGTGGTGCATGTAGGAGTGTGCAGGGGATGAGTTGGTCAGAGCTCTGGTAAAACACACAAGTCGTCACTAATGCAGCTCGGCGCCCTGCAGGCAGGTTTCGGGGTGAGGTCTCGGGGTTTTCAGCTGCAGGAGCCGGGATTTTGGAAGGGGCTTGAGCACTGGGTGCCCCTGTGAGGCACCCACTGGCTGACTTTCGCCGGGCTGGCCCCGTGGAGGCGGAATCCGGAATGGGTAGAACTGGTACCACTGGTTATGCTCAGGGTGCAGTACTGGGTGGGGCCAGAAGGTGGCGATGTTGCCTAGGACACACACCCACACACCCCTCCCAGTCCTACAGATGTGGGAGTAGGTTGGTTTTGAGGGCAGCAAAGCATCTGAAGTTGTAATTGTGCGTCGCCGGGCTGGCCCCGTGGAGGCGGAATCCGGAATGGGTAGAACTGGTACCACTGGTTATGCTCAGGGTGCAGTACTGGGTGGGGCCAGAAGGTGGCGATGTTGCCTAGGACACACACCCACACACCCCTCCCAGTCCTACAGATGTGGGAGTAGGTTGGTTTTGAGGGCAGCAAAGCATCTGAAGTTGTAATTGTGCGTGTGTTGGGGGGGGGGCTCTGTTCCCGGGCACAGACTTTGGGGCAGAAGGAGGCAATTCCACAACACACTGAGCTATCACGTTAAACGCCCACCGCGAAATGTCTCCCCCCCCCATCTG